CAAAGCAAAGGAGGCTGATGTTATCCATTAGAAGAGCCCAGATAGAGACATTATCCTGCTTTTATGAAAGCCAAAGGCCAAATTCATATTTATTTGAGCTGCAGCAGGATCTGGCTTATGTCCTGGACATTACAACATACTGTTTCAATCTATTTTTATTAGCAATATCGATAACGTTGGGAGAAATACGATACAGGAAATAGCTTATCAACTTCGATTAATTTTACAGTGAGACTTTTAACAAAGATAAAAGAAGAATTCAGCAAAGTGCTGAACCTAAAATTGTTGTTGGTGGATGGAGATGTGAGGTACCTGCACATCCTGAGCAGGGCAGCTGGATATTGAGCTGCCCCGTTTTTATCTCCACGGAAGAAAAATACTAATCAAATTTTATGAAGACCTTTAGTTCTCCTGTTTAAGTTTATTAACACTTTCAGGCATAGCGATTTGCTGCGAGAAATGCAGGTATTGTAAACTTCAATTAAGTCTGTTTATTTTGCACAGACCGTGGTTGTAAAGCCCATGGTAAATATTCATAGTGAAAGACATGTGAAATGCTTTTGCTGCAGGCAGAAAAAACACTAATTCCAGCCCCAAAATCTCAAGTCCTGTGAGAGGATGGGGGCTGGACTCACTTGAAGGTGCCTTTGAGTATCCCCACAGCTTTGGAGGCTCCACTCCTTGTGTTCCATTGCCTGATTTTAATTCTTAATACTAATTCACTGTATTTCTGCATGTGAACCATTTAGCACTTGAAATGTTGATCTGTATCTGCATTTATGATCTTTTTAAAGTTTAAAATGGCAGGAGGACGTCGTGGTGCCACTGAGGATAAACCAGTCCAGCCTCCTGGATTGCTCCATCTTGTCCTGGTGTTGAAGACACCCATGAAACAAAATCCCACCCTCAAAATTGACCAAACTGCCTTAAACACACAGTGTGTTTAAAGCAATGTAGGATGGAAGTTGATGGTTAAAACCACCGAGTGCTTGGGTACAGAACTCAGTGATCACTTGCCCACAGTGAGGTGGGCACAGCCAGGGCAGAATCGTGGTTCAAATCCACCCAAACCTGACTAAAAAAGGGTTTGTTTGCTGTTTCCAGGCTGCTGGTCCATGGAGAAGGGAGGCAGCAGCCTGGCTCCAGTGGACCAGTGGCCAGAGCTGAAGGCACCATCCATCCTCAGAGCATCATGTGAGTAATTGCAAGGGTGATCTAAGTCACCACACAAGTCCATGACTCTTTTCCTCCCCTTAGAGCCCCGTTTATTTGCAGGCCTGACTGGAAGCAGATGGACCTGTCAGGGCCGGCTCAGGCAGGTGAGCGGAGGGTGGATGAGCTGCTAAGTGCTCCCAGCTGCTGGGCAGGGCCCGGAGGAAATTGTTGGAGCTGGGACCCAGCTCTGAGGTGAGATCTGGAGCCAGTGCCAAGAAGGAAAAAGTGAATTTCTCCAAAAAGCCATTCTCTAAAACCTGAAAGAGTGAGACTTTTGAAATAAAATAAAATGTCTGAAAATATCTGAAAAAAAAAGCATCTAATATATCCTCAGACTTCAGAGAGCCAGAAGCCATCCTCAGCCCCTGCCCCCATCTCTGCTTTTGTTCAGGATCTGCCTCCTTAGACAGCAAGTATTATTTTTCCAGGGCTTTCTCCGTTATCACTGGTGTTTCCTTCTCCAAAAAGGTCTTGACTTCTACTCACTGGTTTGTGTCATTTGATTTATAAGCTCAAGGGGTCCTTCTCAAAACCTGGACTCCTTCTTGTACTTAATTGCTACAATAAACTGAAGTCTTTGTGCTTTAGGAGAAACAATCTGAGAGGAAATTGTTTGATGTATGGAAGTAGACAGCAGGCCCTTCTTGGGAATGTCACTGAAGGGACACGGTGGAGAAGTGGGTTTATAAATAACTGGAAAATTCAGGAACTCCACGAGCTCAGGGAGAGCAGAGCTCTGTTAAGCATGAACAGCTTGTAGGGCAATACCCAACATCTGCAAAAGTCCTCACAGCCAGTGGAATTCCCAACGGCCCCAACTGCTGTATCCACTGGCTTTAGCTCCCTGGGATCAGAGTGAGTCCCATGGAAAGGGACGCCTGGAGCTTGCATCCCATAATGCAAATAAACCAGTCAAAGAAACAGTGATTAACAAGCCAAAGGTTTTATTCACATTGCAAGGAAGGTGGTTTTCCTTTTCCTTTTTGAAATTATTGTGTAAAAAGTAACTCTTGGTGGTTTATACGTGTTTTTCCCAGTGCTCGGTGGCTGGAGCACCAGTGGAGCATGGAGTGGGCACAGATGGAATTGCTGCATGGTCCAAGCAATGCCACAGCTCCAGTGCCTCCAAATGACACAGCAATAAAGAAAATTATAAAATTCCTTCAGTGTGTAAATGCCAAGGAATGAGGCATTACTTGTGGCACTGCAAAACATGATCCCAGCCACCACGTGCTTGGAGCACAACTCCGTAGGAGCTGGGGGATGCACCCCCTGCACCCAGAATCCAAAATCCAGCCAGGGCTTGGAGAGCTGCCACAGATAATTTTACAATTATCTGTACCTCTTCTGTAGCTTTCTGAACCGTTTTCCCAAAGAGTCACCACAGATTTTGTGTATCTTTGGGACAACCAGACACCCAAAACTAAGAGGAAAGGACACGTAAATATTGCAGACTCATCTGGTTCCAATAGTGTGTGTTTACATATTAATGTGCAATACAAATTTGTAAACATGAGCTTTTGAAACGTTTGTAGGAACCGATACCGGCCTTTTCCCTTTCTGCAGCTTTATTGGAACAACATGTCCCCGGGCCCAGCCACACATGGACATCGTTTCCACACTGGATGCATTTCAAATGGTCTGGGTGCTTATTTGTTCTGCTCTATCTTGCCATCCAATCCTCGTTTGCTTTGCATAATTGTGATACAAATTATCATCTAATTACAGCCCAAACCTCAGCAGATCGAATGCAAACCCAGGCCCTTCGATCGGGGAAAGCGACATCCGACGCTCCCTCCACACCTTTGGCTCCCCCTCGATGGGTGTATTAAATTTGTGTGAAAGTGGAGAGTAAAACTGCACTTTGATTAAAAATGTTATTGCTGGGGTTTTTTGTCTCCTTGGATTTTAAATCAACCCCCCGTGACTGAGCACTGAGTCCATCCCATATCCCGGCGCCGAGTATGGACGCCCTTGGTACGACCAGTTTTATTTGCTGAGTGCTATAAATGGGGTCAGATATTCCCAAATATCTTCCAGCTCCTCTTGGGAAAGGTCAAATGACTAATAGCTGAGCTTGTTTAGCAAGTTTAATCCCTAAAAAAACCCCTTTGATTACTTCCCCCCGTTCCCATTTAAAAATAGCACCATAATACTGGGTAACTGGGAACTTTGAAATTGCCACAAGTTTTCAAATAACGTTTGTGGGAGGAAATACAAAGCAGCACATGCGTAATTGTATTTACAGGCACATGGTCCTGCTGTAAATATCACCCTTGGTTCCCCCAGCTGCACATTTAATAACTAATATTTATTATTCTGTCTTACTCTCTCAAGTTCTGCCACTTGCCTCCCAGCAGTGGCTGTTTTACAAAGCACCCTGAGAATGTAGTGTGGAGATTACCTGCTGGTTTGGGCACAGTTTTTTCTCAAATAGGTAAAATCATCCGTGCTAAAGTGTGAGCCATTCAGCTGAATCATCGCTGTGGGTGTGGAAAATATGGGTCAGGGAGCCTTGGCTGGTCTGAGGTGACCACAGTGGCACAGGACAGAGAGTTACAACTGGCTGAAAACACCACCAACATCCTTCTCATTAGTTGCAGTGATTTTTGGAAGTATAAACCCAGGAGATAAAGGCAAAGGGAATGGAAATAAACCTCAGATAACCTGGATCAGACAGTGCCTCTCAAGCCACGATGGCCTTTTGTATGGACAAATTGATATTTATGGGTTTGCCTGAAGAGCATCCAAACTGTGGCACCCATGGGACACGCTCATACCTTGCAGAGAGCAGGCTCTGGGTGTGTTTTCCAAGCTGCTGTGATGAGGGAGGGTGGCAAATCCCGTGATCCCACGGGACCCACGAAGGCGCCTCGAAACCCAACCCAATTCCACTGGAATCAGCAGAGCATCGTTCTTGGTGGAGCAAATCACCACACTAAAAATATCCATTCAACTCATTATCAGCCACATTTTTAACCAGCCACTGATTTACTGGGTTACAGCTCATGGCCAGCAACTCCAGAATATCTTACGCAACTGCAAGGATTTGGAAAATTGGAAGTTCTCCGTTGCACAAATCCATGACTGAACTGGAAGGGCCTTCCAGAGTACAACCACATGTTGGGGCTGGGAGGTGGTCACTTAGCCCATGGGGAGCTGGACACAGTCTGTCCGGGGCCAGCAGTGGATTTGCCATGGGAATTCAGTCACCACCAAAGATGAGGGACGGCTTGGAAATAAGAACTCCCAGAGGAAAACAGAAGGTTCTTCTTTTTTTTTTTTTTTAATAAAAACAGTGAGATAAACTGCTAAGAAACAGCATGAGAAAGCAGGTTTGTTCATTTTTACAGTTGTACAGACCAGTTAGCACAGCCCACTATTTCATACTGGTATCACTGGGGGCTCTATGAACACCCAAAGCAGGAAAACTAAGGAAAATGATGCTGTCTGAATTTTAGCAAAGTCTCATGAAAGTCAAAGCGTGACTTTTTGTTATTTTAACAGCTTTAGATATTGCTTGTTCTGTTCTTAATTTGTTGTCTGTTATGAATGAAAATAAAAGCAAAACTCTGATATCAGTTTTGAGTCTTAAACCTGCACCTAATCCCTCTATAATATTGTGTTTGTAAATACAGGATTAATCCCAAAATGTGGCTGGTCCCTGTCAAGCATTATTTTCCAATCTCTGCCACATATCAAGTAATAAATTTGACTTTACGTAGAGACTGAATATTGATCAAATAAAGAATAAAAACCTGTGTCCTGATTTATTGTGAGTTATACTGTGCCCTTGAGAGCTGGAGATTATTTACAGGAATAACAAGAATATCCACAGGTTACAATAAAACAGACAGGACTTTTGGAAGGAATTGAAAATCTCATGTTGAGAGATGTGGATCTCATGTGGAGTTGTAACTCTCCATAAAGGATCTGTGTTCTCCATGGGACTAAGCCAGGAGCATCCTTTCCCCTTCCCTTGGACACAGGCTCATGGATGTGATCCCAGGTGGATCTTCTGGGGCTGAGAGCACTGGGTAGGAAAAGTGTCCTGCAGGGCTCCTGGAGGTGTTTCATCTCACACAGCTCTCCGAGATGGATCCTCCAGGTCCCTCGGCTTGGATCCATTTTGCCGTGGGAGGGATGTGTGACCCTCATCCCTGTTGTTCCCACCACGCTGTCAGTGCCAGTGCTGCTGGAGGGCATGGCCTGGAGAGGCTCTTGAGCACCCTCCACCTTCTCCCCATGTGGTAGGAACACATCCATTTTTCATCCTGCCTTTCTTTACCCTGGCAGCAGACACTTGAATTTACATCCCCACGGGATCTTGGAGAAAAGGCACTTTCATGTCATTAATTAGGACCCGTTAGAGCCAAGGGAACTTGCGAGCACACTTGAGCATTTGGCCAAATGTGGCTCCTTTGCTGACTCCAGGTCTTGGATAGTCCCTTTGAAATTAAGGATAAAACTGGAGTAGGTGAGCAGCAGCTCCCCAGGGGTAAAACTGGAGTGAGTGAGCAGCAGCTCCTCAGGACTCTGAGCTGATTAAAGGCAAGTGAGAGAGAGAAAACATACTTGTAGAAATACAGATGCCTCCAGTCCCATTTGAGAGTGCAATTATCAAAAAGGTGACTGCACAGTTTGCTCTCAACCTACAACCGTGACATAAACAGGATCAAAAGGGATCACTTGGCTGTGGGTCATCTCAGACTGTCCATGCTCCAAGATCTTGCACCCTTCCGAATCCTCTACCCTCCCAACACCACGACACATCTGCCCACAAAAGAAAGGGTTAAAAGCCTGGACATCCCTCTCCTGTACCATGAAGTGTTTCAGAGTCAATAACTAACAAGTTCGTGGGCATGAAAGGAAGGAAGGACTTGCTTTACATATCAATGCTTCGGAATATTCTGTGATTCCACTAAAGGCAGTGGTTAACTGTGGGGTGCCAGCTGGAGTGGTGACATCTGCCCTCGCTCAGAGCGGCCGGGACGCTGTCACTCCCTTTGAAATGGCCTCCTGCATTCATCAGTCTGGATGGCACAGAGAAGTTATAACCATACAGGCCATATGGAGGATGTAAAGAACAATTAAGTGCTTCCCGAGCAATGGGACTTGATGGGAAAATGTTTCCAGATGCATGTAATCCATACAGCATTTGACCAGCAGAGCCGGGCACTTGCAGGCACTGAGTGTTTAAGTCTTCGGCTTTGGCGCTTTTCAGGTTGGTTATGCCGAGGGAGGACAGTTTGGGCACATCCACCATGAAGTGGGGTAAGAGGTGTGGGTTGGTGCCTCCCAGCTTTTTGTGGCTCGGAAAGATGAGAGACTGTTGTCTTAAGAAGCTCGTAGGGCAGATCTTGTAGTAGAGGGGCACGCTGAGGTTGGGCAGGAAGGTCTCGGGGCACGACACGCCGATGTTGCTCCCTGGCAGGTGGAACGTGGGAGGGGAGCACGAGGGAGACAGCAAGGGGTTCAGAGGAGAGGGGGTCCCACCGCTGGAGGTCACCGGGGAAGAGCTGGAGCTCCCACCTGAAAAGGAAAACAGAAATCATCCAGGCTGAGCTGGCTGGTGTCCACAGCCAAGGAACCCTCTGAGGACTCCTGCTCCCACTCCACATCTCCCTGCTGCCAGTGTCCATCCAAGCACAAACTCACTCCAAAAACCAGCTCCTGGAAAACAGGAAGATCTATCCATAAATTATTTGTTGATGTTACTTGGCACTACTTCAAGAACAATATTCACACATGGCTAATCCCATTCCATGGACTGGGACCACTGTGAAGTCCAGTTCCACGCACCTGATGGGTCCGTACCTGGCTGTGCAACCAATAACCTTCCCCTCTTACACACACCATGGCTATTTCAGCTTCCCTATTTTTCAAGCAAATTCCAGACAGCTTTTTCCCCTTGGATATAAGGACAAAAAAGCATATTCAGCCTGATGGAGAATTTTCTGTACCTTCCTGCTCACAGGAATTGACTCATTTCACTTGGCTTCCCAAGCAATTTGAAATGTAGCCCTGAATGCTATCGGTGTCTCCAGAAACTTAAACCCACATGTCATTCTAACATCCCCCTTTCTGAAAGGGATGAATGACCACTTTCAGAATTCGGTAGAAAAGCAACACCAAGGAGCAAAGCTGAGGCAGGGATGAGATGGCTGCTCTGAGGTGGGAATGGTGCTCCAGGGCAGCCAGTTCTGGTGCTACACAGATGTTGGTTTGATCTCCTGCCTTGAAGGAGCTGTGTGTCCGCTGCACAGTCATTACCAAATCCTCCCAGAGGGTTTCTTTTTCTCCCTCTTTGTTTTAATTTCTTACCAGAGTGACTGGGAAAGGAAAGAAGGGGATGTGGATCCGTTTGTGCTACGTGTCTTCCCCTATTTACGCTGAATTCCAAGCGATGCACTGCCTGGATGTGATCTGATCGGAATTCATGCGCAACCAGCGACCCGGAATCGGCTGTAAAACCCCACCACTGTAAAATCAAACTGACATCTAAGGTTTAGCAAACCTTAAAAGACCTTAAAAAAAAACCACAAAGATTTTGGACGTGGTGCAAATTAATTTCCTCTCCCAGATCAGCACCCAGGCTCAGGAATCCAGAGAGGTTTTGTGCCCTGAGGATCTCACCCTTCCCGGCTGATGTCAGTGGGGCTTCAGTCCTGACACCAGCAGGGCAGGATCCAGTCCTTTCCCAATATACACATCCTGATGCCCTCCAGGAATCAGGGACTTTGGATTATGGAGAATAATGTGACTGAGTCGATATTTGTGAGTGAGAGGCAGTGACTGAATCCCTACATGGTTGGATCCAGCAGAGCAAACCAGGGGTAGGATTTGCTTTACAGTATCCTAAGCAATATCACCCAACTTCCAGAACAAATCTGGGATTGGGGATTGCAGCAGAGAGGACAGAACAGCTCAATGAGCAGATGTTCTCTGCCCCTTCAGTTATGTTTAAAAATCAAAAGTTTATGGCCAATTCTTTCTTTAGGACGCTGATTGTAATTTCATTTAAATTTGCCTGTTGGTTATAGAGCTTTGGGATTTCTATTTTTTGGTTTTTCTTCAGAAACATAATTTTAGCATTAATAGAATGCTAAAATTTTGTTATATTTAGCAAAATATAAGATTTTGTTATATTTACATCAGTCCAGGAATCTGACCCTGAAAAAAAATACCAATTACATGAAGAAAAGTACCAATTACATTAAGACAAGCATAAAAAAAAATAAATTAGAATTTCCAGGTAGCCCAAATATTTTAACATATGTACAATAATATTTTAGCATCTTTTAGCATTGCAGTTGCTGTCGCCTCATTCCCCACTGCAGCTCCTCCACCATTTTCTCTCCCCAGTGCTGGCAAACGGGTTCAAAAGGGGCTTTTTGAAAAAAATATTTTGTAGATATAAAATTTTTATTATTGTTATTATTACTATTATTATTATTATAGTCGTTAACATTAATAATAAAATTACTACTACTACTAATAATAATGATAATTTAAAAAATCTAATTCTCTTTATAATTGATAAACCTTTTAATTTCTCCCTAGTCTGATTTTTTTGTGTCCCCTTTTCTTCGCCTGCAGAACATGAATTTTTCCTGTGATTTTTTTGCAGCAGTTCCCTGCAGACACAGATGACTTGGTGTGTCCCAAGACTTAGAAGAGTTCCTAACCTAAACGAGACTTAAACCGGCGACTTTAAACCCAAGCTGGAGCCTCCAGCGTGCAAACAAGCTGTTAGGTTTTTTTTTTTTTCCTTCGGCGCTATGAATAATCAATTTTCAAATATTACTTCCAAAAGTCGTTTTACGGGAAAGGGCTGTAAGGGACCGGTGTGCACTTGCCAGGATGAGAGAGAACATTTTCCCTTAAAACTTTCCCCTCTTCCCTGCGTTTCGGTGGGACTGCTGCATCCTAATAACAGATAATTTTCTTTTCTGTTGCATAACGCGTTTGTCGGCGCAGAAGCCGCCGCTGCAGAAGACACCGGCCGTCACTATTCCCACGTTTTTAGCTGATATTCCTAAACCGGTTGGAAGCAATTAGTGGAACAGGATCAAAGCCGTAACAACCCGACTCCAAATTAGCCTCCTGCACACTCACAGATTTTTTTCTGCCCATCTCACTCTGATTTCAGCCGGGGGCTCGGGCAGCGCCGTCATCCTGCTCTTCCCGCTCCTCTCAACGATTTGCACAGGAATTTTGTCCAAGCCCACGCGGTATTAAATCCCCAAACGGCGAATGGTTCGTTTTCTGGACCCACCGCGTCATCCTGGTGGTTTGAGCCCCGCGGGGAGCCCCGAGCCCGCGGGAGAGGCAATGGACAGGACTTACCGTGGCTGTCTGCGCCGAAAGCCTTGAAATCCAGGGCGAGGGGCGGTCGCCACGGGTAGGAATCCAGGAGCCCATCCAGGACCCCCCTGCGGGGGGACAGCGGGGTGAAGGCGGTGGGACCGGGGGCTCGGCGGGGCGGGCGGCGCAGCAGCCCCGGCTCTTACCTGTTCCTGCCGGGGTCCCGAAAACCTTTGGCGAAGGGATTCCTGTCGATCTTCAGCTTCGTGATCTGGAGGGTGGGAGCGAAAGGGGCCGTTGGGGCGCGGGGTGAGGAGGGACCGGCCGTCGGGGCTCTCCGTCCCCCTTGTTCCCGTCCCGTCGGGGCTCTCCATCCCCACAACCCCCGGGTACCGTCGCAGATCTCCATCCCCTCGGCCGGTTCTCCGTACCTTCGGGGTTCTCCATGCCCCCGATTCCCCGTCCCGTCGGGGCTCTCTGCCCCCCCCCGATCCCCCGTACCTGCTGGTTCTGGTAGGCCGTCACGGTGGTGAACTCAGTCTCCTGGAAGGAGAAGGTCTGCACCCCCTCGGCCGGCAGCGACTGGATCTGCGCTAGATCGAAGCGAGAGTCCTGGGCGATAATGTGGACGCGGGGCTTGTACTTGTGCATGGACTGCAGGATGATCTGTGCGGGGTGAGAGGCGGCTGAGACCCCCCGGAGGGAGAAGGGCAGGAAGAAAACCCGAGGCGAGAAGTCGGTGAGACCCAGCCCTCAGACCCGGGGCAGGAGGGATCGGCCCCCTCCCTTCCCAGCGCTGCCCCTCGGGGTGATGTTCTGCCCCCCCGGGGGGATGCTCTGCCCCAGCCCGCCCCCCTCGTCGGGGCTGCCCCACACCTACGTGCCCCTTGTCGTCCATCTCGTTGTTGGTGAGCTTCACCCGGTCGAAGCTGATGATTTGTCTCATCCAGGTCTCCCCCGAGCAGGGGGAGTCGGGGTGGATGTAGAGCCGCGGGGTGATGCACGAGTGGTCCGTGTTCCCCGCCACCATCCACTGCGAGCTGTGATAGACGTACCTGGCCCGGGCCGGGCGCGGTCAGGCGGTGGAGGGCCCGTCCCCACCTGCCCCCACACCCAGGCACACCTATAGAACCTATAGGTGCGTGCGGGGCCCCCGTGCGACCCAGCGTGTCACATTCGGCCCCGGCCGGGCCGGAGTGCAGACCGCGGACAGCCGGGCAGGGGGGGACCCGCGTGGGTGTGGGAGGTCCCCGCCCGTCCCTCCTTACCTGTATCTTTTGGAGTCCACCGGGACGACGTCGATGGCGATGTAATATTGCTGCAGCGGATCCAGCCCCTTCACCTTCACCCGCACCGACGGGAACATCCTCCTGCGGGCACAGGGAAGGGGCTGAGCAAGAGCTGCCGCTTACGGGTCGAAAAGGGGCTGGAAAACTATAAACGGGCATCGGCGAGGGAAAAAAAAAATCGAACTCAACGAAAATAGGGGAAAAAGGGGAAAACGAAGAAAAATAGCCCAACAGAACAGAAAAACCCCAAACGACAAAACAAAACAGGAAAAAAACCCCAAGAAACAACAACAGCACACACCCCTAAAAAAAAAAGAATACGGGGGGGAAAAAGAGAAAGAAAATAAAAGGTAACGGAAAAGCAAACCCGAGCGAGGCGGCGGGGGGCGGTCAGGGCGGGCCGAGGGCTCAGTACCTGCCGGCCTTGGTGATGATCATCTCGGTACCGATGTCGTGGAACCTCCTCCAGAGCTCGGAGCCCTGCAGCTCCACCTGCACCCCGGCCGGCCGCGCCTCGGCGCCGGCCTTGGGCCGCTTCTCTGCGGGGAACACAAAAGGGAGGGGGCTGCTCGGGAGGCTGCGGGGGCAGAGGGGTGGCCGTCGCCCCCCGCCGCCCCGGGGTCCCGTCGGTACCGACCCGCCTCGGGGGCTCTGCGGGCCGAGCGGCAGCCGGGGCCGGGCTCCTCATCGCGCCCCTCCGGCACCTTCCTCTTGGCCGAGCGGCCCACCAGGGCTTCCACCGAGAAGGCGTGAGCCCGGGAGCTGAGCGCCATCCCCCCCGGGCTGCCGGGGGTCCCCCCGGGCCGCAGCGGGGCTCAGGCGGGCGGCGGCGGCTCCATCCCGGCCCGCACCCAGCGCCCCTCGCCCGGCCGCCGCACCGCTCCCGTCGGGGGGCAGCGGCCACCGCCAGATCCTCTTGCATCCAACTGAGTCAATAGACGGCTGCAGCCTCCTCTGTTTGTTTTGGAAACTGGTGGGAGCATAAGAAACATTGAGTGACATTTCATGGGAGTAACGGGGGGGGGAAGGGGGAGGGAGGAGAGAGCGGGAGGGCTGTGGGGGGAGAGGGGGAAGAGGAGCTGGCCCCGTCTAGGATCAATAAAAGAGTTACTGTTCTCCATTAAATTGTAAAACTCAAAGAAATTTGACATAATTGCACACTAGGGGCCACTTTTCCAACAAAAGTGCAAATAACGTTTAACCAGAAACAGCGCAAAAGGGAAAAAGAAAAAAAAATAAAAACAAAGACAGAAAAGGATAAAATAAAAAGAAAAAAGGGGGGAAGGGAGGGGGAAGAAAGAGAAACGGGAGGGAAGTAAAAGCGAAAGGGGAAAAAAGGAGATAAAAGAGAGAGGGAGCCGTGCCCCCCCCTCTGCCCCCACGGGCCGGTCACACCACAGACCCGGTGCCACCCCCGGGCTGTGACAGCGCCGGGCACGAGTTCCGGCTCGTCTCCCGGTTTTCCTTTGCTTTTCGTTTGTTTAGTTGTTTTTGGGGTGTTTTTTCAAGGCAACAAACCCGCCCCCCCGCCCGCCCCGGCTCCTCTTCAAAGCACGGCCCCGCCGCGGCAGCTGCGCTGAATTAGGGGCAGAAATCCTCGTTTTCCACGCGGGTAGTCCCGGGGAGCCCCTGCGCGGCCGGGAAAGGGGGGGTCGGGGCTGGGGGTCTCCGGCCGGGACCGTCAGGTGCGCACGGAAAGGGCTGCGCAGGATTTGCGCGGCATTTTCCCCCTCCGGGAACCTCCCCACCCTGCACAGGCTGGAAGCCACCGGGCTGATTTACTTGCCAGCCGGGAACCCTCTCCAGAGCTGGCACCAAAGGGGATTCATGGGCTCAGGTGGGTTTTGGGAGGGGAAATGGTGTTCGCGCTGGGCTGGGTGGGTGTCACCTCCCCCCCATCCCCTGCGCAGCGGGGAGGTCAGCCAGGAGAGATGAGCCTTAACGGGAAAAAAACGTGGGAAGGGATAAAATTCACAGACCAGCTGAGAAAGCAGGTTTGGGCGGGGAGGGAGCTGCTGCAGGGCTTCGGCGTGACAGCGCTCCGTGCTCTGCTTCCAGGTGCTCCCGGAGTTGCAGGGAAGCCCTGCTTCATCCAAATGTTTATTTTTCAGCATTTCCTTCTCTGTTTGTTAGGGTTGGTGTCCTGGTGCATGCATTCCCAAACTTTGGGCTGGCAGCAGGTTGTCTTTGTGGAGATCATGGAATGGTTTTGGTTGGAATGGAACTTTAAGCTCATCCAGTTCCATCCCCTGACGTGGACAGGGACACCTTCCGCTATCCCAGGTTGCTTCAAGCCCCATCCAACCTGGCCTTGGACACTTCCAGGGATCCAGGGGCAGCCACAGTTTCTCTGGGCAACCTATGCCAGCATGTGGTCCAAAATATGTATTCAAATGCCCTGAACTCACTCCATTGTCCTCAAAGTCCCATTCCAAGGACACTCCTTAATCAGTTTATGGTGGGCTTTGTGCCCATTTATATGAGTAAAAATACTCATTTAAATGCATTTATAACAACTGATACTTTTTAAATAGACATTTATACACAAAATTCTGGGCAAATCTCACTGGGACAGGGGTTTGATCAAGGAAAAGACCTCGGAGGAGGGGAATGGGTGCAGGTACAGGTGCCAAAAGCCAGAGCTCAACATCCAGCCTGGACACCTGTTTGGAAGCGGCCCACTTCTCTGGCTGCTGCCCTTCCTCCTGTGCCAGCTCTGGTTTGGATCTTCCCTGCAGCCTGATTTGGGAAAGTTGGTGTGCCAACTTCCCAAAGTCTGTAAGAAAGATCTGGCCAGGCTCCTGTTGAACCCTTGGTGGGAAACTATTGTTTATGGCACTGGGGACAGATGTATCTGAGCTGTAAAATAAGTGTATAGAGGGATGTTTATGGAATTTGCTTCCCCAGAGCTCTGGTATCTGGGGTTACATGGGAGAGGAGCTCACCCCAACCCTGGAAGGAGCTCAGGAATCTCTTAGTCATCCTTCTCCTCCTGTCCCTCAGAGAGGCTGATGCTGATGAGATCTAACTTATTATTGAGGGTTTTGGTGTTTCTCACCCTTCACAAAGTGTCTCAAAATACAGAGACCAGCTATGTTGTGCTGTAATCTGAATTATAAATGGGTTTGTCCCTGTGTTACTCCATCCTCTCAGTGATGTCCATCAGCAGTGGCCTCTGCTCATGTGGTTTTGTTTCCTACAGGCACGTCGAGGTGTCCTTGCCCAATGCCTCTATGGGACAATGTCCAACCTGCTGCAGGGGCTCCTCTGGGATGTTATTCCACAGGACATGATTCCCTGTCAATGGCAGGAGTTTGGAATTAGGCGATCTTGAAGGTCCTTTCCAACCCAAACCATTCTATGATCCCTTGGGGCAAGAAATGTATGGAGAACAGGGTTGGGGAGGGGAATTTGGGGGTTACCTGCTGCTCCAGGCAGGATCAGCCCCTCCTATGCAGATCTTTATTTCTTCTTACAAAGAGAAATGAAATTTTACAAACATGTTCATAATTAGAAGAGCATAAGCTCATGGTTTCCAGGGAAGGTGACCAGCACAGCCCGGCGCTGATCGAAGCCAGCTGAGGGCATGAAGTGTGAACCTTTATCTCTGCTGACATGACATATTATTAAAAAGTATTTCGAGTAATCTTTTATTTCCTCAGCATTGCAACACATTTCAAGAACTTGGCCGGGGATCAACCGAGCCTTTTTAATTTCCTACAATGAAAAATAAAACAAAAATAAAGCCCGATTGAGATGATATAATCAGGAACATTTTGAGGGTTTAGGTCAAATTAATGTGTCAGAGAAGGGTTTTCAGGGGACTTGGAGAGCTTTAATCTGTCAAAGGCTGACTCAGACCTTGCTTGGGCTCTGTAATCTCATTGTCTTTACCAAATTATGGGATGGTATGTCCTGTATTAGTGTCATCAGAGTTGAGCAAATAATCAGTTGGCATAAAGTTCAGAATAACTAACTTAATTTTAAAGCAAGTGTTATACAATAAGCCAGAAATGTTTGCTTAACTTGAAAATGATCTTTTAATACTGTCCATTAATGTGTGAAAGCACACAGGTAACCTCCAATTAGAGCCTTGCCTGGCTACTTTTGGGGCAGTTTTTAGGACATTGGATTGTGTTCGAGCTGTCCTCAATTTTGCCAAGATTTACCTTACATTTACCAACACAAAACAAATCAAACCTAAAGCAATCAACCCTGACTTCTGGTTTAGGGGTAATACTTTATTATCACCTACACTCTATTCATCTGAGACTTTTATATCTTCACTCCATCACTGATTTATATAAAGCCGCAATTATAAATTTGGTGCTTGGACATTTTGGGTTCTAATGGATAAACACAAATCATCAGCAAGAAAACACTTATTTATTTATTATTTGGGATAAAACATGGTTTCCAACCCTGCAGTCTCCAGCCAGGGGGATGCAGTACTGCTGCTCCCATCACACAGTCTCAGCCATTGCTTATCCAGTGTTTAATGAGACAATGAGCAATCAAGGCTACAGCTGGGTGTGGGTGCACCTCTTCTCCCACTGGGTGTATCTGAGGTGGGACATGCTGAGTAATATTTTTGGTGTAACTCCTCTAGCAGAGAAGCAGCTGGAGGGAGCAAAGCAGATCTCTTGTCTCTGTGTGCTCTTCCCACCCCAGCCTTGGCAGCACCACCCACATCCACCCCTTAAAAATCTTTCCTGTCCTGTAAAAAAGCATTTCAGCATTGATTTAACCCTCTTTGCTCCAGGACTCACCCTCCAGCTGGCTTTTTTCCCCCAGTTTTCCATCCTTACTTCTACCAGTAAATAAAGGATTGGAGTTTTTTTTCAGATCCAAACCTATTTGCTTGTTGTGAATCATGGAATGGTTTGGGTTGGAAGGAACCTTAAAGCCCATCCAGTCCCATTCCCTGCCATGGGCAGGGACACCTTCCACTATCCCAGGTTGCTCCAAGCCCTGTCCAACCTGGCCTTGGACACTTCCAGGGATGGGGCAGCCACAGCTTCTCTGGGCAACCAAAATATAATATATAAACATATTATAAACATAAATTAATGTGCTGCCTCACATGTAATAGGGATAGACCTGGTACTGAGGAAATGTAAGATGATATTAATATTTCTATGTACAAATAATATCCTTTTCTTGGATAAGAAAAATAAGCTTATGGATGAGACAGTGTGCCACAAACAGCTGCCACTATCCACATGGGAAAGGGATGGAAGGTTTGTTATGGGAAGACATTAATGCTGGAATAAAACAGTTTCTAAATGCCCTGGCTAATACAGAGGCTGCAACTGGAGAGGATGAGACCCTTCTGGGGCTGAAATAACACCTGGTTGGGTTCTACAGGAGCTGCAATTGGCAACATTCAACTTTAATTGTTGGAAACATAACCACCATTTCACAGTAGTCATTAACTAATTGCTTATTAACAGATTAACAAATATTTCTTCTTCCTAAAAATCTTTCACGCAGAAACAGCTGAAGGCTGAGGAAATCTTGGCAGAGGACTCCCCTAGAAGGGTAGAACAGCTCAGGAGATGGTTTTCCCTGACATTCTCAAATGTCCTGTCCCACAGCAGAGCTTTAAGTTCAGTCTGTGATTATTTTGCCCATCTTGAACTTCGAAGAACCTCTGCTCTTCTCTCCAAGCCCAGTGTGACAAGGTTCTCTCTCCATCCCTGCTGGGCTGTGGCACCTCTAGGCCAACTCCATCCAAACCAGGAGGTGATGGCAAAGTTCTGCCTGTCCTTGTCTGTAGGAACCAGATCCTGAATTAATTTCATGACAAAAATGACAGGCCTGAGCAAGAAATGACCAGTTTATGGTGGTGGCCAAC